AAGGCATCCAGATTCAGCTGCTGTTGAAACTGATCAGCAGCTGATTCCAGGAAGCCCTGGGCAGAGAAACTCTGCCTCGGGCTTCCTGTAGTCAGCCACTGGTCAGTTTCAGCAGCGGCTGAATCTGGATGCCAGTTCCGACTTAAGTACAAATTCGACTTAAGTACAAACCTACAGTCCCTATCTTGTACGTAATCCGGGGACTGCCTGTAGTTTTAAGAGAACCTCTCCACTAAAATCAGTACCTTAGTAAGACATAAAACCCTTTGTTATGCCTAAAATCTTTGGAGCTATACTTTAACATAAATCTATGATGAAATTTCATAAACATGCCCATTGTTATGGAGCTCACACATAATAAATTAGTGTTCCCTCTTTCTAAAAGCAATGAACTTTGTTATGAATACACTAAACTGCTCTGATTAATTTAAAATAATGCATTTGTTTCAGTGCGTTAAATATGTAGTAATCTGGAATGATTACTTTATGAATGCTTAAGAGTACATTTAAAATATTAAATCAGCTTAGAAATACTGATGAAGAAAATGTAAAACAGAGAAGAGCTGCATCATGTATTCCATAATATTTAATGCTGTATTCAGTGGGACAGCTGATTTGCCTTTATTTACCACGCTTTTGTAAATACATCGCTGACTAACTTCAGGGAATATCAAAATACCAGTGACTGACATTTTTTATTCTCAAATTTTGTGCTTTTAATTAGGTAATTTCTGCATGTCCAGTCTTCATAATATGGCAAGCAGTGGGAAACATGCTCCATTTTCTTTAGAAATAAATTTTAGAAGAGGGTTTTTTTCAAATGTCATTTGCTATACAGGCAGTCCCTGGGTTACGTACAAGATAGGGACTGTAGGTTTGTTCTTAAGTTGAATTTGTATGTAAGTCGGAACTGGTACATATTGTAGGGGAAACTCTAGCCAAACATTTCTCCAGAGCTCAGTTTTATTCTCCCACACCTCACTTCCCTCAGTCCTTTATTCTCAAGCTGAGGTGTCTGCTGAGAAAAGCCGCTCCGCGTCTCCCTGGTCTGCTGGGGGGAAGCAGCTAGTGCGGGGTTGCCTCACCCCGTTTGTAAGTAGGGATCCGATGTAAGTCGGATCCATGTAACCCGGGGACTGCCTGTATTTGGATTCAGGGATGTGGCTTTAAGAGGTGAACAGAGAGGGGGAGAGAAGAGGAGAGGGAGACAGTGGGGAGGGGAAAGAGTCTGGGCACAGTGGGGATGATGCCCGGGCGGAGCAGGGGTGCAGTATGGGCGGGGCTACAGAATAGGCAGCTTGTATCCTCATGTAGCAGCTTCACCCATCGCCCATGAGAATGGGAGAAAAATTGCAACACAGCTCAGAGTCTAAAAAATCTGATCCCCGATGTATAAGGAGGGCAAAACCAAACAAGAACTTCATGGGCTTCTACTTGGTCTCCTCTCTCCCTCAATGTCATTTCCTGTAACATTAAATAATAATGTCGACCCTTCACCCAGGCTAAGAAGAGGGTGGTGTTTCCCTTGTTAGTGGTGTTTTCTCTCCAGGAAACAAAAAAGAAAGAAGTTCTGACAAAATCAAGGGCCAAATTCCTGGGTATTTTAGGACAACTTTGCATTACTTTGGCAACACAAATGCAGCTTAACAGACCAAATACAAAGTGGGTAGGAGGTTGCTGGAGACATGATTTTTGCCCTGGATTTTGATCTTTTAGAGTTCATTTTAATGACACACCTGAAAACATGTGATGAACACTAAAGTGATTTTAAACAACACTCTCATTTATGTGACTGAGACAAACTATTTTACACCTGACATCTCCAAACATATATTGCCCTGGAGAATACTGTCAAACCACAGCCATAAAGTTTGTACAAGATCAGAAGAAGAACTAAAGTTCAGGTTCTGCTCTTTCACACTCATGGCAGTAACTGGGATTACTCCTGATTTGCACTGGTATGAGTGAGAGAGGAATCACTCACTTTAGGATCATCAGCTGCCTCAACTTGTCAATTTCCACAATATTTTCTAGCATTCAGAATGATGAAGAGATTTGTTTTCTTACCACTGAGAGGATGGAAAGCAGTATAAATTGCATCTCCACTTTCAATGGCTCCTTCCAATTTTCCTTGGGTATTGTATGTGGTGCGGGAGCTTTTTCAGATGTGATGTTCAAGTACTGAAGAACGTCATCGTACTTACAGACCTGTTCTGGGGTAGCGCCTGTGGAAATAAAATTAAAATCCGGTTACATCCAAATTCATTTTATCAAAGTAATACAGGTCGGGATCTCAACATATGTTGCACACCCAGCCTTTGAAATGGGAATGCATGTCAGAGGATAATAGACATTGGACTGTGTAGCTGCTCGGAAACCACTGTCAGATCTTTTTCCCCTTTCACACTGGCAGGACTAGGATGCCCATCTTATTCTTCCTCATTCATGTATGAGAATAGACATTACACAAGGGTAATCCAGTTGGTTTCCCCCCGATTCTCCTGCAATTTAACTTACCTGTTGCCATAGACAAAATAAGAATGGCTAAGAAAGCTTCCCACATCTTTCCCCTTTTCCTAACGAAGCAAATGGTAGAACTGATGCTACAGTGCAGCTGGTGATTTGATACTAATCAGTGTAGGGAGGAAGCTTATGTAATTGTAGGCTTGTTTTTTTAATGAAGAATTCAGTGAAAATGGCTCAATGCACTCAGCTGGCTCTTGGGGATCAGTTTGTCAAATTACTGTTAATTATATTGATGTCAGTGCTGTGGTAGGAATAATTTGCTTTAAGCCCATCATCATCACATCACATTCCCATTATGCCGCTGGCCTTTAAGGGAGCAAGGAAGCTCCTCCACTGTTGTATTGTGATGATTTCCAGAATGTATTTAAGCTCCTGCAGGTGTTGCTGGCCTCCTAGATTCTGTTCTGAATATCCTGTCTTGTGCCACCATCCTGCCTACCAAATGTTTCTACACGGATGCGAACATGATCCTCTCTCTGTACTGGTGATGGTGAGGTAATGTTCAAGATCATAATATCTGTCTTATTGCATTTGATTTTAAGTTCAATTTGCTGGCTGAATGTGTGTTGACTCGAGTTGTTTTTTTCTTGCGTACGGTGTTGGGTATGTGACAGGAGAGTGAGATCATCTCTGAAGTCCAGGTTTTTAAGGGACGAGAAGAGTGTCCATTTAATGCTATGGTTCTTAAAGTGCAGTCCCTGGACCAATTGTGGTCCCCGGCCACCTCCCAGGTGGTTCATGTTTCGAGCTCAGCCCCCGACCCAAATAAGGTTTCCCACCTCTGCCATAAATAAAGAAAACATTGCAACCATTTTTATTGGACATAAATTAATATTTTACTTCTATTTAAAATGAAGTTTGATAAACTAACATGAGCAAGTTAAAATGCTTAATCTGTTTAATAATTTAAATTAAACCATTTTCCCTAGCTTCAGCACTAGCAAAATGGCTCAGGCGTAATTATGTAATGAGCGGTCACTTTCCATTAGCAACTGGTGGTCGTTGGAAAGATTTGCATTGAGCCAGGTGGTCCATGGGCCAAAAAGTTTGAGAACCACTGTTTTAATGCCTCGTTGCATGTCTTCTGTTGAATGCTGAATTACCCAATCTATGGCAATGTCGAAGAGGTGTGTAGACATAACACACCCCCTGATGTACTCCTGTTTTGGCTTCAAAACTGAGCTCACTGTGATCAACACTGCCTGTAAAGTTGGGATAAAAGCTTCTGATGATGTTGATTATAGGAAGAGGGAGTCCAGCTGCCTGCAGAATGTGCTGTAGGCTGGCCCTGTGAATGCTATCAAAAGCCTTCTCAAAGTATGAAGTTTGGGTAGAGTTGCTGTGGCCACTCTAAGCATTGTCCTATTATGTTTTGTAGCATCAAGGCCTAGTCTGTGCATCCTCTTCCTTTCTGAAAACAAGCTTCCTATTTCCTGAGAATGTTATCAGCTAACTCCGATACATGCTGGATGAAGCTCTTACACAATATTTTGCTTGGCACAGATACCAGTGTGATGTCACATCAGTTATTACAATCACTGAGAGTTCCTTTGGTGTCTTCATTATAATCCCATTGGTCCACTCACCTGGCATTTTGCCCCTTTCCCACACTGATGTAAATAGGGGGGCCAGGACAGATGTTGCTAACTCAGGATTTACCTTGAACAATTCTTCAGTCAACCTATTCTTCCCGGGAGCTTTCCCATTTTGTAAGGTTTTGACAGCTTGAATGATCTCTTCATTAAGTGGGGTGTCTGGGTTGATATCAAGAGCAACTTCTGCCACCTTTGCTTCCTCTTTCAATAGCTCCCTGTTCAGTTGAGTTCATTGAAATTCTCTGTCCAGCACATTTCCTGTTCTTTTGCTGTTGTCAGTAGTTGGCCTTGTTTGTCCCCGTGGAGAGTGTTGGTGTCTGTTGTTACCATTGATAAGGCGCAGTCGTAGATAGTTCCTTGTCACCATAACCGCATCCTCTGCTTGTGTTGCCAGATTATCGATATAATAGTTATCGGTTTGTCTCACAAGGTATTTGACCTCCCAATATGCCTTGCTGTACTGCTCGTGGTGGTGTCTTTTGGCGTATGGTATTTTGTGTCTAAAACACTTTCTTTAGGGTGGGTTTGATTTCTGCGGCATTCCAGGTGCTAGGTGTAATCCATTCTTTCTTCTCTTCTGCCTGTAGCCTAGACAGGCTTCACTGCTCTGCTCATAGATTTATAAATATATAGGTTTATCATTTATAGATTTATAGGTTTATGCTTCCAGCTCATCTGAAGAAGTGAGTTTTGCCCACAAAAGCTATACTATACTATATATATTTTTGTTAGTCTCTAAGGTGCCACAGGACTACTCGCTGTTAATAGATCATTGTTACATTGTCCCATTTCTTGTTGATCTCCTCATCTCCAGTCCCTTCCTCTTCATCAACCTTGTGTAAAGAGAAAGGAGGGATTCAGTCTCACCAAGCATAATGCCAAAAGCTTTAGCCCTTTAAGAGCCAAGTCTTGTGCATGTTTATGTGTCGGGTTTACATCTGATGCAGTTGCACTGACCTGCCTGGGTTTCCTCTAACTTCAGAGGGGTAGCCGAGTTAGTCTGTAACAGGAAAAACTGAAATGAAAACTGCCTGAAACCTTTCCTTCATTACAGAATGAAGGCATTCTTTATTTCAGGAGACTTTAACTTGTCAACGTCATAACATAGATGTCCATTGTTTGATGGACCCACACTACTTAGTTTTAGCTTGATGGAGGCTATCACAAGGGGGTGATAACTGCCCACATCTGCTCCTCTTTTCACTTTTACATCCATCAATGGGCATCACCATTTGCAGTTGATCATCATATGGTACATCTGGTTCTTATTTCTGTCATTTGGAGAATATCACCTCAGCTTGTGAATTTCATGGTGTTGAAATAGGATTCTGCCAATGACTAGGTCCATTGTACTGCAGTTATCAACAAATCTCTCAGTTTTCATTGATGGTGCCACACCCATGTCTTCCCCTTGCTCTGACATTGTTTGTGTTGTCCTTACCAACGCTGGCATTCAGATCTCCCATGACGATAGGTTGTGGTGTGGTTCTCTCTCTAACTCTGCCTGTAATGTAAGATAGAATTTGTAGTTTACTTCCTCATCACTGTCGTTTGTCTGGGGATAGCACTGAATCAGGGTGATATTATTGTGTTTCCTTTTCAGTGTGGTGCTCAAAGTCTTCTGCTGATGGACTTCCATTCAGTAAGGGACTGCTTCACTCCCCTCCTCAAAAGGATGGTGATGGTCCCATGGCATTGTCCATCATCTTGTCCAGAATACAGCAAAATTCCTCCCAAACCTATTGCTAATCTTCCTGATCTGATCCATCTGCTCTTTCTGACAGCTAGGGTGTATAAACTGTAGCATCTCATGTCTGCTATGACCTGTGTTCATTTCTCTGTTTCATATATTGTCTGCACATTCCAAAAACCAAGTCTGGTTTTTGTCTTGGTGTTGAGCTCTTCAGTCTTCATACCAGTGGCTTCCTTTGGGTTTTCACCACTAACTCCAAAACCCCTGTAAAAAGAAAAGAAAAGAAAAGAACAGAACCCCGTGTAAAGAAAAAGGAGGGATTCAGTCTCACCAGGCATAATGCCAAAAGCTTTAGCCCTTTAAGAGCCAAGTCTTGTGCATATTTACATGTTGGGTTTACATCTGATGCAGTTGCACTGACCTGCCTGGGTTTTCTCTAACTTCAAAGGGGTAGCCGAGTTAGTCTGTAACAGGAAAAAGTTAAAAAACAGCAAATAGACCAGTAGCACCTTAAAGGATAACAAAACATGTAGATGCTTCAGGGGGTAGCTGAGTTAGTCTGTTACAGAAAAAAACAGTAAGCAAATGGTCTGGTAGCACTTTATAGACTAACAAAACATGTAGATGGTATCATGAGCTTTCGTGGGCACAGCCACTTCTTCAGATAACTGGAGTTATGATTAGAGGATAAGAAACTCGAAATAAATAGGAGAAGGAAAGGGGTGGGGAAAAAGATGATCTGTCGTAGATGGTATCATGAGCTTTTGATGGGTGCAACCCAAGAGGGTTTTGTTAGTCTTTAAGGTGCTGCTAGTCTGTTGGTTGTTTTTTAGGTTTTGGGGTTTTCTCTGTAAATGGAGTCACGTTGGGTTTTTACTAGTCTGATAAAGTACCTTCGGGGCTACACATCTCTCTTAAAATTCTCTTTTATTTGAATTCCTGTTTCCATATGTAGAGTGCTCAGGAGAGGGGGTAATGTGGAATGACCCTAAACCATCAGTCCTTTCACACATGCACTCCACCCTTATCTCTTTTCCCTTTTGTGGGGTGAGCAGACAATTTCAGCACGTACACACCATTCCCTAGCCTTCCTAGTCCTAAGTGACAGTGAGGGTATGTCAGTTCCCTTTATGTCACTTTCTTCAATTAGAAAACCTCTCTAACTTCTACAAGTCTGCTGTGGCTGACCTCCCTGGAGACTTTGGCAGAAGATGGAGCCGCAACAGCAGGATACAGTTTCATCTCCAAAACCATTTACTCCTGTGGCATTACATTAGGGGTGATTTGGCTTAGGCATTATATTGCCAGTTAGTCCATTGTATCATTTAACTGTGTTATCAATTGTCATGACAAACTCATCTGACAGTTCATATGTAATCAATGTGTGATAAATAGATTTAAGTTAGATATAGGTAGAGGTACAACTAGGATGGCATCATGGGAGTGCAGAGATTGACAAATAGATAAGAGGAATGAGTGTGTACGGGCTATGTAAGTAAAGCAAGGCTGTAATGCAAGTCCAACAGGCTAAGGCTTGTAAGAGTTTAGCTCAGTGGTGGGCTAATACCTGCCTGCAGGCTGGATCCAGTTTGCCAGGGTTAGCCCATGGTGGGCCACCACTATTATATTTACCTGTCTCCCCTCAGGTATGGATGCTTGCAGTTCCCATTGGCCACAGATCGCCATTCCTGACCAATGGAAGCTGCAGGAAGCAGTGTCCCGATCCGCATGGCTTCCCACA